GTATAGGAATTATGAAATAATGCTATCGTATCTAATTTTGTATATGAGACTAAAAACTCACGGCAAGGATTGAAAAGCTTTTAGGGAATGCAGATAAAGAATAATTATGTAGCATAAGGTTTACGTTCAATTTTTCGCGTCATATTACCCGATTCTATAATATGTTCTATCCTCCTTGTAATTGGAGTTAAAGGATACGGTACTGGAAGATCTTACCAGATTTATGGACGCTTACTTTGATACTCTAACAAGTATACCTTAACTATGCTGAGAATCAATGTATACATACAACTTATAAGTAATGGTCAAATCAAATGCTAGAAGTGAAATAAGAGTTAAGGACAATAGTTTAGTGGTTGATCCAGAACGGAGGCCTTAGGTATGTATATAAATATATTACTATATTTATACATAATTTAACGAAAAACAGGATTAAATTGTTGCTTGATCTTGGAGCCGTCGTAAATTCATGAAACAGCGATACAAACTATAATAACTCACGATACAATACTAAAGATTTATCCATGCTTCACTGAATGATGAAATTATTTAATTAGCTAGCTTCAGTCCAATTTTCTCTGCAAGCGTCTAATAATCTGAATGAAGCCCTTACGAACTGTACACGAGGATCTCGAGTCTAACCTGTCTAATACTACAGTACTCGAGAATTACTTCAAAGTAGTCTCGATATATATGAATTATTTACCTAGAATTATGTTAACCCACTCGTACAGTTAGAACTTTGAAGAAACTATTACACGCTAGCAGTTAATTTGCAGCCGCAGAGCAAAATGCAGTTTATGCTTTACTTCCTAGAACACTTAAACGGTCCAGGGATGAAATAAAAAGGGATTAAAAATTGCGCTTGAAAGGCCACAGATTTCGAAATTCGTTAAATCTTTGTAAAATAACATTTTGATGAATGCTGATCCTGTGTACATTATCAATTATACAAATGCTAATACTATAATTAAATAAGATAATCCTAGTATAATGTTTAATTTAAGCATGGATGTTTACCCTGTGAACGTAGTCAAATATAAATAAGATTAGCATAACCACCCACACCAATGAATCTTTTGTCATTTTACGATATCAACAAAGTCAATCCGAATTAGTTACCCCTTTTTATCACCTTATCAAAAGAGAGCGGTTCTTGTATAATTATCCACCAGGTCGTAGTATTAAACTAATGCCTGCTAGAAGACTATTTTCTTAGAATATAACATTAACTAAGATTGTTAGGTTTATTTATAGAACGGATTGATTTTATTGCTTCCACCCTTCACTTTCATAAAAACAATAGAATAGTCCATTAGTAGGTCGTCAAGACAAATTTTCTCGTTAATTCATCATGTATCGAAGATCGGGGTTGTACACGTGCAAATGTTTTTGTCCCGAGGACATAAGCTTATTTACTATAATCGAATTGTCTCATAATCGGTATGTAAAGTTCATTAGTGTAATGTTTAACTCTAAAATTAAATCTAATTTAGAAATTGCATGCATTGCATTGTTGACAGAGTCACTTTTATTTATCTTATTCTACCTAGTTACTGAAAAATTTGAATTGACCTTCGTGTACTGCACTATACAGAAAATACAGTTGTGGCAATAATAAACTGATTAGAACTATTATCTGATTCAGATACAGAAGTGATAATATCTGCTTCTTCTGATGAATCTTTTAGAATAAATTCTTATGAATACAATTGGATTCCAGCACTCTTCATATCATAATTGGTTCTGCAGAATAAGTACCGCAATTGCCTAGAGATGATCATCATTTTCGTAGTTAAGGTTGCTAATAAATAAGTGGATAATAAAATCTTTGTTTACTTAAATCTTCAATAGTAGCAATGATTTGAAGAACAAATAATAAGTCCGATAGAAAACTTCTGGCTTTTTCTTACATAGAGCCATACGCATTGTCTTTAGCTTTTATTTAAGCAAGACCCTATCTGCTTGTAAACAAGGTTCTGCAGATAAGTCTAAAAGTATGTATAAAGTAACCTCTGTTCGCACAAGTTACAAACCTTAAATTTGGGTAATATACTTTTGCAGTTACCTTGCTAACCTTTATCAGTATAAAGGAGTACGGCTTGTAGTTACAGATTGTTAGAAGAACTCGAAACAGTAGCAACTCCATAACGCAATATGTTAAATGTGAATAAACTTCGAAGGTCGATTATAATAGGCTATAATTGCATTTAAAGGTGATGTAATAAGTTAAGGAAATACTCGTTACTTAATGAACGAGCTTTATGAGTTCAAGCATAACAATATAATAGCACGCGAATGATATCAAAAAGGATGGATTTAATTCGCTACAAAAGTTAGTAAACAATTCTAGAAGATAATTATCATGAAGCAGGGTTAAGAACTGATTATTGCACTGAATTTGTCTTTAAAGGGCACTTAATACTGTAGATATGTGATAATACTTAGAAACAAATTTAAGGTTTAAGTCCATTATAAATTCAGAAAGTATTTTAGTATCAACGAATACAAGTATTATCTTATACTAGTGCTTATACGATAGAAATTTTCAAAATTTTAAATACATTATGAACCTTTATTCTAGCTTAAATGGTCCTAAATACACTACTTTAATTATTCATTAATTATAATTCTTTATTATATACCGGGACTATATTAATTACAGTTGCAAATCGTCAGTCGTTAGTCTGTAATCCAATATAGCATTAAATTAACGAGATACATATGTTATGTAAAAATAAATATATAAAGAATACTACATTATACACATATACACTCGTTTGATACATTTGTTAAATAAAATCTGATGTGTAGGGTTAATTTACAAAATAAATAAAGTGAATTGGTTAGTAACGCAAATAAATGGTCAATATAAATTTAAGGTACTAAGTAATTCGTTTAGAAAACGTAACATAAACATTTTTGGAATGCAGTATGTCAAATATTTTCAGAGAGTGTTAGCAGGAAAGCAGGCCATCGGATACGTTTCCATTAGCATATAAAAGAAATTAATGAAGGTTATTTGCTGATTTGACATTTTAGAATTACAGATTATTAAAACACCTAAATCACGTGCTCCTTTCTCTCGGTAGGGTAATTAATAAAGTAAGTAAAGGTCCATATGACGTTTGAAATGATTGCAAGTGAACTTTACTTTCGATGAATGCTGGCATTGTAAGGTCCAAAGTTTGAAGATTTGACTAAATTATCATGATAAAAGTTTATCGATACTGAACTTGATTGTATCTCGTTTTAAAGTTGATTTAAGTGCAAGCCTTAATCGTATTGTCAATATTATATATTCTTATTTAATTATGATGATGGTTGCATTTTTTTCTACGAACTTTCCTGCCAGAAAGTTATCGGAAATAATTATGCAAGTTCATGATTTGAATTAGAATAGGTTGTACAACGCCAATCAACTTAGTAGACCAGTGCATTATATCATAAGATAGATATAGAAATTTTTCATGATTGCCCGGAAATCATATTATTAATTAGATATCTGGACGATATTACTATAAAGTCAGTAATAAGAAGAAATATGGAAGTACTTATTAGCTTCACTTGGTAATCTTTATCGCTGTGATGGAATCAGATGGTTAAAGTGATTTAGCTACAAAATTACTGTACGTTGCATTAATAGTAAATCATATAAATCGCATGTTTTATTTACCATAATAACGTAATATACCTTATCATACAGTCGCATCGATAATTATTATTTTAATTTAAAAATTATGTAAAAAAACGTTGCCTAACCTTAAGCATACTATTTACAATTCATGTGCACTTCATGAATTGCAAATTGTAGCCTATAATTCAGAAATGATACTTAGTATAATTTTAGTCCTAGATAGCTCTTCATGATGATTAATGATTATGTTAATATTTATATCATCTTAAGTCCGATGGTAATAAGTTTTATCATTAGTCTTTCTTCTGATTGACTTGATATTATTCAATATCCGTTAATGTGTTTACTTAATTTATATCCGGAATCATAATCTTTTACCTTATTTACACTTCCTTTCATAAAGGCATGGGCGGCCACATAATAAATTAGAGGACATAGTCTTGACTGGTTGATGATTTGAATATCAGATATCTTTAAATTCATTTTGAGATTAAGCAACGCTTATAAATCAAACTTTTTATCGTTCAACGGTTCCGATTCTTGAGTTGGAAATCTTCTTTTATACATTTCCTTAATCAATATCACTTTTTTAAACGTATTTTTAAATTACTCCTAGTCATTACCTTATATTTTGCTTTCATACAATTCGTTATCTATGCAATATATTCAGAATAGATATTAACTTATCTATACGCGGAAATGATATTTATTTGTTTTTCTATCATTCTTTCAATTTAATTCCTAATTTCCCCACAGGAAAAAATTTTAATCTAACCTTCTTAGACTGTGTGAGCTTTTGAACTTATACTATTTATCTTACGGTCTGATTTACTACTTCAAGCCTGCTTTTCATATCATCTCATCTATTTAATAACTAATTTCCTTATTGCAAAACTAACTTGGCACAATTTAGATGAGGTTATTTCCGACACCTTTTTTCTACTCCCACTAACTACGGTAGAAATTGTTTACTATACTCTGATATTTTTCTAACGAACGAAAATTATGGTGCGTGTTCATAATGTAGATTTAAGCGTTGTCGGGATTGATTAACAATATAATTTATTCCGCCATTAGATTCCGCTAACAATGTAAAATTCGCTTAACCAATAAATAATTACTACTTATGGCATACGACCTTTGCGCACATTTGCATAGATAAATAACTCTTTTAAAATCGATGGAAATTAAAGCGTACTTAGTATTGCTTAGTTGGTTTGCTGGCATAGAACGGAAATAAATAACAAATAAACAAATCATTGATCAATATTGGTTTATGAAATCTATCCCATCTAAGTTAATTGACGAGTCATTCCTTCATTGTTCCAAAAGCTATAAATATTGGTGCTTATCGCCTGCTGACTTTTATCACTTCTTGGTTAGGACTGATAACTATTCATCTGGTAAGGATCATTAGCAATTATGATATTATTTTCTTATCTAGAAGTAATAAATTTAATAGATTTTTTTCTATCACAAACCAGCTTCGTAGAAAAGATAACGTAAAACAAATCTCTAAATTACTATAGTTTCCAGGATTTAGTTTCCCTTAACTATCTCATTAGAATTTAATCGCCTTTGCTCCTACGTTAAACGACTATAGAACTTTTCTTTTATTCAAGTATCAGACAACCTCAAATACCTTTCGGCAGCTGCTATCATGTATTAGTCATAACAGTTCATGAAATTTAGTTCATTCACGGTGGTTCGTACAGTGAACTTTTTCCCGTTCATATTATCTCTGATCCTTATCATACTATAAGATCTAGACCAATACGACGATGACCAAATACCTATCTGGCCATTTGTAGTAGTTAATATACGCTTAGAATTTCTCATGATAACCTTTGAATCTGTATAACGATTTTTTTGTAGCCGCACTACTTGTGCTAACTCGATTATTTATAATTAATTTTAAAGATGCACGTATATTGATACGGTACTAATTTTCATTTTTTATTTGCATTTTTCAAGCTATCATGAAGATCTTGGTTGTTATTGCTCTTTTCGCTTGCGCTACCGCATTCAGGCGTAAGTAGAGTTATGGCTTATCACTATTTTTAACCCTTTGTCGATACAGAATCGAATACCTTCCATTTAATTTTAGACAGCATCCGTCTTTTTCTATACTGTAGTAGTAATGTACAGCATAGTAAAATTTGCTATACTGCATCATAAAATAATAGTACAAGCAAATAATATAATATACTAGCATGATATTATCAATCAATCCTGATACAATACACGCATACAAGTTTGTAATTTGTTACCGGTTAACTTATAGCTTGGACAGATAGTTTCTACTATATGTTCAAAATACTATCGTTTGTTATTTCTGATTTATTCTCTATTCTATATGAAAATATCCAGTTCCACCTGCGTACAAACAAGTACCACGTAAGATTGAAATTATTTTATAATATCTGTCATTGCAATTCTTCATAACTTACTGTACTAGATAACCGGAACTGACCAAATTGATTATTTTCATATGTCAAAAAATAGAGGAACCTAGGTTCGAAAATGATGAAGATGACAAGATCGTCGGTGGATACGAAGCTAAAAAGCATGAATTCCCATTCATTATTTCCCTACAAAGATATGGTTCTCACTTCTGTGGTGGTAGTATCGTTTCAAGCACCAAAGTCTTAACTGCTGCTCATTGTACTAGAGCTGTTTCCTACTGGCAAATTACAGCTAACGCTGGTAGACATAACGTCCGCACCAGTGAAAGCACCGGTCAAAGCAAATCTGCTTCTAGCATGTAAGTCAGGATTTTATTCTTCCGAAATTATTCCCTGTTAATAATGAATTTATTTTTAGTCTATCACACTTGACGCTAATTGAGCATTGTCCAGCACAACACGTTCAATGAAATCGTGACATTATTATTAAAATACTATCTTATGATAATTTTTTAAAATCTAGACTGCAGTGGAATACTTTTCATTGACATTTTTTGAATCGAGAATGTATCGATATCACAAAACTTAATTACTGTCGTCAATTTTATATTACAGGTCCGAACATTGGGGCTACAACTCCAACACTTATCGATATGATGTAGCAGTCGTAAGATTGTCATCTGCTTTTAAATTCAACAGCTACGTTAAAACCGTAACTTTATCTTCCTCAAACCCAAGCAGTGGCACTAGAGTTACTGTTGCCGGCTGGGGTACTCTTAGCTCAGGTGGCTCTTCTCCTAGCAAGCTCCAAAAAGTAGATGTCTATGTTGACAGTTATAGCAGCTGCAACAGTGACTACAGTGGTATAATTGATGATTACACTATGCTTTGCGCTAGTTCAGGCGGTAAAGATTCTTGCCAAGGAGACAGCGGCGGCCCATTGGTTCGCGCTGGTACTAGCACTCAAGTTGGTGTTGTCAGCTGGGGCTATGGTAAGCATTCTTAATTTATACACATGCTATTGGCAATTGCTTTAATAACTGACATACTTATTTTTATCTTACTCCCCTATTTTAATAAGCTAGTAAACCAGTTCAATTTCGTACGAATAACTTGTCAATCATGACTAGATCGTAGTGGGCATAAACTAATGAGCATGTATTGAAATTTTTAGGATGTGCTGATAGCCGATACCCCGGTGTTTACGCCAAAGTCGCTGCAACAAGAAGCTGGATCAATTCTCAGTAACTTAGTTGCTAAAACGTCTAAAAAATTGGTTAAAAGGAATGGAACAAACTCATATATATCCTAAATGATATTACTTTACTTGATAGTATACGTAGTTTAGAACAAGTGAGTCTATTTTGTTAGCAATATTCATGACTTAGCTCTTCCATTGATGCAACTACTTCTTGTATTCTTGATGTTAAATCGTTAACAAATCGGTGTACTGAATGCAGTTGAATTAAGGAATAAAATCAAAGTTTTATTATCATCATCAAGGATTTCAATTAATGAGACTACCCGTATAACGCATGATTTACTCCTTACTTTTTATCTTAATCTAATAACAGTAAAGTGTTAACTTTATAAAAGTAGTGATAATCCAAGCTCAGGTAGCTCAGATAATGTAAGAACTGTTAAAGTAACACCATTGCATCCGCTTTAGCCAATCATCGTTGAAGGGCAAAACGTAATTGCATTACACGCGTGCAATCTCCTGCAGAAGATGCGATTATTGCTATTAGAAAAAAAAGAGAAATCAAATGAAGGTATTCAAAGGCAAATACAGTAACTCAGTAACGTTCTTAGAAGTTAAAAAGTTATATACTTTTACGCCGATGATTTTCTTTTCAAACTGGCACTTTTAACACTTAGAAGAATAGTTACTCATCTTACCAAAAACGGAGATAGTTTACGAAGAATAATTTACTGTTATGCAGTGCTGTACTGATTTAGCTATTGGCTACTTCCACCTTAGTGGTCAATATGGAAGATATGAATTATCACGTTGCAGTTTGAATACAAGATATTTCATTGCGATTACCAATTTTTGGGGGCTAGAGTACAGTAAAAAGAGAGTATAAACTATGCCTAGTAAACTAATAATTCACTTAATTACAACTACGGTATCTCTTCCTTATATTTTAATACATAGTAATATGTATCGTAGATATCAATATTAGTTATTGTACTTGGCGACAAGATATAAAATGCAACAGAGGCGGACATCAAGCAATACAAAATCTTGGCGCAAAGTCTTTAACCAAAGCAAGGACTTCTAAACGAAGTCTATGGTGACAATCTATAGATTCTAAAACAAAAAAAATAATGTAATGGGAGAGACAGATCGCTCAGGTTACAACTTGCAATGATTGCTGCTCATGGTCCTGGTCTTGAATAATTGTTTGGATTAAGGGGTTGCTGTTGTGATTTGGATATTAGATAAGTAGACTAGGAGTAGCACTATGGACTTGGTTACTTTGTAAGTAGCCAATCAACTAAATTAACCTCTAATCTAATCTATATTTGAGTAATATTATCTGTAAGCCTCTTCGCTAATGGCCCTTACAGTTGGAATATTAATCATTGATTGCTACTAATCTAAAGAAATGAACGTTTCAAATACCTTATGAAAAGTTGACAAGAAATAATACTAACTTGTCCTTATTCAGGTTGTGCCTACTCGTCGAGGTATTGCATCTTATCATAGCTTCAACTTCATGCATGGTTCTACATGGCAAGATGAAAAATGGTTGCAAAGGCCCACAGTATATTGGTTAGAATATTGCGCTTTACAGTAGATGCATCCGCAATGGAAAGGGAATAAATGTAGACAAGGTTCAAGCCTTTGATAGTATTTATATTCATTATTGAGTTATATACCAGTATGTGCACGTAGTTTTATGTTGTCGCCATTGCAGCTAATAATTTAAAATTAAAGTGTACGAGCATGATATGCATAATCTGCATAAAGATGCACACAGCGGAGTAAATTACAGTAATGGCTATAATACAAGCCTAGCTACTGCTGTATATTGTGTAATGTCGATAACAGCAGTAAACCGCGCTCACCAGTAGAAGAATTGTAAATGCAGCTTATTAATCGGTAACTGAGATGATTTTTTTGGTGCATCGTTCTAGTTCAGACTCTTCAGGGTAATCTACCTAGTCACAGAAACTGCTTGCACGTGTATTGTTATGACTGTTTTGTGGCAGTCATCATCTTCGATGGTTAGACAGATTCGGAAGATGAGCATTAAAATTGTTACGCTAAATCATTCAGTCTTACCAGCATAGTATATTACATAATTATTTGAATCTAATAGAATGTTGATTAATTAAGTGATGAAATTGAATTAAAAATTCTAGACGATGTAATCATATATTAATAACTCATAAGATAAAATTAGTATCATAATTATGCAAATATATCGAATACTGCTAGAGATACGACTGTAACTGAGCGTAAATTGTTAACCGTAATAGCTGATACATTTAACAACAGTGGAAGGTTCGTATTACTGGAGCCTTCTTTCCTTACTTCACATTATCTGACAAACTATTTAAGACTGTTGAGTTATAGTGCACAAAACTGTTGCTTCACGTTAAAGACATGTTCTAGCGAAGTAGCGAAACTAACTTGTTTATTGTCAACATAGCAATTTATAGCAACAGTGTCGTTGCTGCTTTACATGTTCGGGTATTTGTCGATGTCATAAGCCCAATGCAGAATTAACTACTACTCATTTATAAAGTGATTTGCAGAATTTGATAGCTTACTCATCAACACCTAATTATTATCTAGCCAAATTAGTAGCCAAAGCAAAATTAATGTTAATGTTGATAGAAATAATGCACAATGTTCGTTACCTATCATTATTCTAGTAGCTTACGATGGTGATTGCATTTCAAAAGTAGAAGAAAAAGATTGTCAATTCAATAAGTTTGTCTGTGAATTAATATTTTCTATGCCTTCTTATACGATCAATCTCTACTCTTCTGGCATTATTATTGATTGCAGTCCTGATCTGCCAGTTCATTAGCTTCAGATCTGCATCAGCAATGTTGTCTTCGTTTACATCATGTTCTTAAGATATTTGAACAATTGCTACTATTTATTCGTAAACCTGTTCCTATTTGATGGTATAATATGGCTACCAAATTAAGCAAATCTATCCATGATGAAGATAATGAAGCGATATTTTCCATCATGAATCAAATTAGAAGGGTACGAGTGCATAATATTACGACAATGCAAGAAATGGTAAGTTTGGCCCAAGATAATGGATTATACAAAAGTGACCATAAAATAAAATCAATGTTAATATATCTGGAAGATTTAGGAGAAGTGATTTACTCTGATAATTTAGGCTGTAAAGGAATTATTATAACTGACGTCGATTGATTAATCTCTATTAATTTACTTCATGCTAGTATATGTAAATGCAGGAATGAGATATAATCAATCACGAAGATCCAAATTTTGTAAAAAATTAGAACTTTATTAGATCTTATGCAACGATGATGTATATACGCAGTTCTACTCTATCCGAACACAATTACCAAATACTTCTAAAAAGAACTACTAGAATAATCTAAGTTGTTAGCTTATATGCTTTCTGTTGTGTATTAGTAGTAAACGGTAATACATTCAGGTTCGGTCGGACCTTACACGAATCTAATTAACTTACTATTTAAATGGAACTTCCTTGTACGAGTATACACGGTACATCCAATCATGAATTTAAGTATATTAGAGAAGTATTGTACCGCATGCATCTTAAGTTGTAAAGTACTTATGTTACATTAACAATCATATGCTATACTTTTCGCAGCATTCGTAGCTACAATCAGTATAGTAACATTCTACCATATTGTACACTTCTCTAGATTATTATTAATAACAACATTTCACAGCGGACCATCATTAATCCAATATAGAAACTACTATAGTATTTATGTAAACATTATTACTACTGATCAGAATACCATGAATTTGTCGTATTCTAATATGTAAATTATAGTTCTATTTTTACCTCTAACCTTAACAGTAACTCAACACCCCACTGTATATAGTTTTCTGTACTCTAGCATAGAATCTCTCACGGCAGTCTATGGTTATGAGCTACTAAATAAGTATTAAAATAAATATAGAAAGTCACGCTATGCCATATACCCCATATAGAGTTCTACTGTCTGTGTGTACTATATCATAGACTACTAGATGCACTGTAGTTCATGACTTCCCTAATACGAGTGCAATGTACATTGCATACCATAGACGATACTCTGACTTACGACGAGTTAAATTTCAGGAAAATTTGAGGGATACAGCAGTCAGTAGTGATCGACTATTCTTGGAACCTATACTGTACTGATATACGGTATTTAAATCATGCACTTACAAGTTGCAACAGAGTTTAGTTTGAATTGGTCGATGATTAAACCTATATGTAGATTAGTTTAGCATTTAGGTTCAACTGCAGCCTCATTATATGCATAGACAGTGCAATCATTTTTATAGTTCATATTAACTTGGCATCAATATCCAGGTTTTTGATGTTTAGCATCGAGGAACATTACCGTTCGCTGCGAACTCATTCCTCAATTGGCCATCTATCTCTAATTAATAAATTACAAGCTAGAATCGTTGAGTTACTGACTCATTCTGACAAAAGATTGGAAAAGAGCGAAAATTCGGCTGTTGACACCTTCTGATAACGTTGGTGGTAATATACAAGTAAAATTGAAACGACCAACTGTATGATCCACTGGATTTCAGTAAATTAATCGTTGGCACAAGTTTAAACAGGTGGTTATAACTTCAGCTATACATTGGTGCAAAAGGGTCATCTTCATTAGACTTAATAGATGGTCAAGTTTATATCATAGAGAAAATTATAATGATAGTTTATTCCTTATGATAATTAGATACTACTGTAGTTGTAATGTATCGTACCGATTTTCTTCTTATGTTTATTTTAAGTCAAGTTATTACTGACATGATGCTAAAACCAATTGATAGACTTGTAGCTGATCATAATCACTATTGACA